CAGCACTAGGCTGATGTTGGTCCACCCAAAGCTGAGCTAAGAATTCAACCTGCGCTTTGATTTCAGAGCACTACAAGGTCATTACTATAAAATGAAAAAAAATTAATCTAATGCACTAAATATTATCAATTGGCCCAGTGTAAACTTTTTTTTCTTTATGAAGCATCTCAATGTTAACACTATCTTGCCATTCAACGGAGGGCTAGGATTGTCACAAGAGTGGTCTTAGCGCCATCTACTGGACTAACAATATTTATCTCATATTTAAATTTACTAATACTAAAGTGTACAAAGAATACATGTATAGTTACATACTGTAGTAGGTGAGGTCAAATAAAGACACAGGTACATCAGGTTCAACCTATTTTCTTGTAGTACATTTACTTCTATTAACTTTAAAAAACAAAATAAAAAAATTCAGAAACAAAATTACTTTGCCAATCTTAATAGGTCTCATAGTACAGTAAAATATAATACTGAGCAGAATATTTGCTTCATAGTGTTGTCGAATATAGTACTGAGCAGAATATTTGCTTCATAGTGTTGTAGAATATAATGCTGAGCAGAAAATCTGCTTCATAGTGTTGTAGAATATAATGCTGAGCAGAAAATCTGCTTCATAGTGTTGTAGAATATAGTACTGAGCAGAATATTTGCTACATTGGAATGTAGAATATAATGCAAAAAATCTGCTTCATAGTGTTGTAGAATATAATGCTGAGCAGAAAATCTGCTTCATAGTGTTGTAGAATATAGTACTGAGCAGAATATTTGCTTCATAGTGTTGTAGAATATAATGCTGAGCAGAAAATCTGCTTCATAGTGTTGTAGAATATAGTACTGAGCAGGATTTCGGGTATTTTTGAATACATATAAAAATTGTTGTGTTGGATGCACCGAAAGTGGAACTCAAAGAAGTTCTTCATTAGTTGTGTGTGGAAGTTCTCATTCATCCAGGTCATGGTATACCATGTTTCCCCAACAATAAGACACTGTCTTATATTTTTTTTCCCCCCAAAAAAACACACTAGGTCTTATTTTCGGAGGATGTCTTACTCTCCCCCCTCCCCCCCCCATCGAGCATCCCCTCCACATACTTTTTTTTCTACCATAATTTAAATAATAGAGATAAAATATGCTGTGGAGGCCAAGGCACACAGGTGTCACACAGAGCAGACATATGGAATGTACTGTAACACACAGTACCTGAAGGCTGCAGCTGTCCTGGAGCTCTCCTCTCTGATGCAGTCCAGGGAGCCACCTCGTCGTCCAAGCGCGGAGCAGATCCGGAACAGAGCAGGTGCAGACCGGATCAAAACTGCGTCCAATGTATTCCTATGGTATTTTGACCTCCAGTTCACATCGCAGCGTGCGGATCCAGACCAGATCCAGACCGGATGAAAAAAATGCGGCAAGCCCTATTTTACCTGCTCTGGATCTGGTCTGGAACGCATCAAAACCGCATCTAAAACGCAAAAACGCATGCAAGTGCCTGAAAGTCCATGTTAAACTTAAAAAACTATCAAAACCGGCCCTAAACGCATCAAAAACGCATCCAAAACGCAGCACAACCCACTACACTGCGTGTGCAGAAACCTGACCGGATCTGGTCTGCATTTGGTGTGAACAAGGCCTCAGGCACTTGCATGCGTTTTTGCGTTTTAGATGCGGTTTTGATGCGTTCCAGACCAGATCCAGAGCAGGTAAAATAGGGCTTGCCGCATTTTTTTCATCCGGTCTGGATCTGGTCTGGATCCGCACGCTGCGATGTGAACTGGAGGTCAAAATACCATAGGAATACATTGGACGCAGTTTTGATCCGGTCTGCACCTGCTCTGGTCCGGATCTGCTCCGCGCTTGGTGTGAACTAGCCCTAAAAGTCGAGGCAAAAGCCGAACTAGGTCCTTTTTTCGGGCTAGGTCATATATTACAGAAATCTCTGAAGATGGCGCAAGGTCTTACTTTCGGAGAAACACGGTAGCTGTAAAAAAACATGTCAAGGCAACTGGACTTGCTGTATTTTTTTTGAAGACGTTTCACTAGTCATCCAACCAGCTTTCTCAATTCAGACTGCTCTCTGGGCAGGTTATTTACACCTCCTAGCTCCAATTATGCAAATGCAATCAACACATGGTTGGGACTAACAAATTATGTGGTTTGGAGCCACATTCACCATATTTATTCCAAGGTAATTTTTGTACAAGTTCTGAATTGAGAAAGCTGGATGACCAGTGAAATGTCTTCAAGAAAGTCGCCTTGACTTATTTTTTTTTACAGGTTTTTCATTAGTTTTACACCCATTCACACCTCTGATGTGACATCACATGGGCATTTTTTTGTGGCTCGCAGTAAGGCAGCTCATTTGAAAGGGCCACATCTAAATCACACTGTAAGTACATGATCTTTTTTTAAAGTTGAATCACAGCACATGGTAATAAGTCACCACACCTTGTGGGGCAACACACATATAATAGCTAAGTGTGTTGGGGTGTCATTAATAATGGCATCGCAGCACAACATTGTGACATGCAGAAATGGGCATGGAAACTTACACATACTTGCATCACACGTGAACTGGGCTCTAGTTACAATAGGTAAAGGTTAGGGTTTCTGGCAGATTTTGGAGGTCTTGTGTCCTTGTTGGGGAGATTTAGCTAGGCTTCCCGATGGCCAAAATGGACAGAACTAAATTATATTGCTTTCTAAATATTCCCCTGGTTCATGCAGCAGAAAAACATTTGACTGGAATCGCATTATAAAGTAAAATTTCAGCAGATGCTTTTTTTTTTAAAGTGACACTAAACTCATGTGTTAAACCTTAAAACTGCATTCAAGTACCTTATCTATTAACAAAAATGAATCGTGCGCATCACTCAGCTGTAGATCTTCAAATCTCTGAATTCATGCCGACAGTCCTTCCTTCTTGAGCGTGGTTACTTTTGTTCCCCATGGTCCTTGTGTAGCTCCAAACTCGCTCCCGTGAGACTACAATCTCATGTTTAGTTTATCAATTTGTATTGAGATAGTAGTTTGGAGTGGTGGATACTTCACAACAAAAATGCCTCATATGCCAGGAGAATGGCCAGACTGGTCCAAGCTGATAGAAAGGCAACAGTAACTAAGCATTACAACCGAGGCATGCAGCAGAGTACCTTAAAACACAACGCATAAAACTTTGGAGCAGGTGGGCTACAGCAGCAGAAGACCACAACGGATGTCCAAATTTGGCGATCTTCTGAATTGTAGCCCGTTTTCTGTTCTTAGGCGAAAGATTGGAAAACCATTGTCGGGTCTGATAAATCTCAATTCCTGCTGTGATATCCAGATGTTCTGGTAAGAATTTGGCGAAAGCATGGATTCATCCTGCCTTGCATCAACAGTTCTGGCTGCTGGTGTAATGGATATTTTCTTGGCATTTTGGGCCCCTTAATACCAAATGGGCATGGTTTAAATAAAACAGCATGAGTATTGTTGCTGGCCATGTCCATCCCAATATGTCCAGTGTACCCACCTTGTGATGGCTACTTACAGCAGGAAACCATACCATGTCACAAAGCTAAAATCATCTGGAAGTGGTTGGTCTGGACAAAAATGATCCAACCAAGTACTAGCAAGATCTACTTTGTAAGTGGCCAGTGAGTGTATTTTAGGCACATTTCTGGGAGTAAGTTTCCAGCATTGGTGTTAGACTTAGATAGCCAGTGCTAGTAAAGATCCAGAATTCCTGGAGTTATTATATTTAAAGTTGAAAGCCATACTTTTCTGCTTTAGCTAAATCAGGCGGGGCTTTCCCTCTGTCCCATCAACAGTTGATCATGAAACAGAGGGAACAGCCAAGGTTTTATATTTGACAAATTAAACGGACAAATCTTCCAGTGTGGATCTCTGTTATGTAAAGTGTGGGAGGATTTGCTCTCGTCTCTTCCCAAGCAGGGACATCGTAATAAAATTATCCTCGCACGGTGAAAATATTTTTGCTGGCATTATGCCTTGATTTTGCCTAAAAAGCAACCCAATCAAGTTTTTGAAAAAAATTATTTTCAAAACATAGCCCGGTACATTCTTTAATAAGCATTTTCTCAGCCATTTCTGATACTTTTCCCATACAAGTGAAGAGATTCAGTAAGCAGTATGGACTAAAGGACATGCTTATCACAGGACTTGGATGTTAAGCCTGGTTCACACCTGGGCGTTTTACAGCGCGTTCCTAACCGCTGTAAAACGCTCAACATGTGAAAACCAATAATTGCCTATGCGCATGGTTCCCACCTGGGCGTTTTACAGCGCATAGGAACGCCCTACGCCCAAAGAAGTACAGGAGCTTCTCCGGGGCGTTTTTTCCCGCGCGTTTCCATTGGTATTCCCGAGTTTAGATCGGGGTTAACAAAGCGGTAACCCCGAGCCACACTCGGGAATACAGCGTACAGGTCTTACCTTGTCCGCGATCCCTGCGGCGTCCTCCGGCTGATGCCGACTTCCGTCCCTTGCGAGCGGCCGCGTCGCAGGAAGGGGCGGAGCTGGCGGGAAGTTTGAAAGTAAAAAAAACTTTTTTTTTTAATAGAGAAAATGAGGGGTAAAAAAAAAATCATACCGCAAGTGAAACGCGCGTTTCACTGAACGAAAAAAACTAGCAGAAAAAATACGCTCAGGTGTGAAATCAGCTTTAGAGCTCTGCTTTAACAGCCAAGTGATATGAAAGCAGTTGGCGTGCCATCTAAACATTCACACCAGTCATTTTAGAAATATTGCATCTACCTCACCACCTCTGTTACAGTAGGATACAATACCCCAATGTGGTCCTGCCTTCTCTATTTTTAAAGAAATGTAATAATCCAAGTACAGAGAATTTACAGTATTTGTACAGCAATGACCTTTTTACATTTCCACTAAAACGTTTTGCTGTTAGATGGGCTATCTGCACTTTTAGGCTTCAATAGTATACCATTAATGCACGTATAATATATGTTAGTATGCAGATGCAAATAAAACAAAATAAATCAAAATATGAAGAAAGATGTTTATTTGACATTTATTCTTCAGTTTCAGACTCCTCATCCTGGCTGATCTGGAAGTAGCGGAGCTCATAGGTCTCCTTATTCGATGCAACTACACGTAGCCAGTCCCGCAGACTGTTCTTCTTAAGGTATTTCTTGGTGAGGTACTTTAGGTACCTAAAATAGGAAAAGAGTACATTTAGAATATGCATGGCATTTGAAATAAAAAAAAAAAATCCTAAAAAAGGACCCACAACATTAACATTGCTAGGATGCAGATACTGAGATTTTGGAGGCACTTCAAAAGATAAAAAAGGCTGAATCAGCCTTCATAAGTCACTTACACCACATCCCTATCTAGTGCATGACCAAATGTTACTTCCACACACACTGTCCTAATATGCCCTGCCAGTCAGCTTATTCTGTGTATATATATATCTTAACAGTGTAATGTTGCAAAACATTTATTGTATTTCACTGTCACAGTAAATGCATCACTTGTTACTTTAGATCACTACTTTCCCAAATGAATGTGCGGTCAACATAAATTGCCTAATGCTGAAACAATTCAAAATTTAATGGACAGCTGACCATTCAGGGCACAATGAATGTGTGTGTAAATTGGGATTTTGCAGACCATAGCAGCCAGTGAGCACCCCAAATTTATTTTTAAATTGGGCTGTAAAACTGATGGCTGGCACAATGGCATACATGACATACTTCTCGCAGACTTTGCATGGATGAGCCCTTTTAAGAAAAAAACAAATAGGACCCAATGCTGTAGTATCTTTTGATCAGAAATGACTTTACCAAACATAACACCCCACCCACCAACCAACAGAAAATATATAACTATTAAACATGTTTATTAGTGTAATCCTTGCAATCAATGACCGCTTGAAATCATTTGTACTAACTCCCATAACTAGCATGTAAGCAAGGCAGGGGCAACACTTTGTGTCCAGCAGGAATGCCCACTGCATGCTGCTCTCTAATGTCAGACATTGGCATGAGAATATTCGGTGCTTTTACCACTGTCAAACTAAGAACTACACTGAAGCATCTTCTTGAAAGAACCAGAACCTTTGGGTTTACCAGGCTCTTCTGAAGGTACACAACATCAATCTGTGTTTGGCACTGTGGGTGTAGGGGCTAATATAATAATCACTGTTTAACATGGAGCTGCGAGGGTCTAAATAAGATGACCTTGCAGTATTGCTGCAAGGTTTGATTTAAATCATTTCAATCATGTGCAAATTGCAAGCTATATTGTTATGAACTACAGACATCTTTGAAAAGACCACAAATATGGCCCATAATCTCTTCCAAAACCTGATCCATCAACATGCTCAACTTTATGAAGCCAAGCTGTGGACAGTCCTTAATGATTTGCTGTGGGAGAAAATAACCTCAATATTTGTTGTGAAGAAACCTTCTCATCTGACATTGAATATTTCAGCTGTGATGGCCCTACTACGCAGATCTGATATTCCCTTAGGTCCACAATTATTCCTCAGTTACAGCACTAATCAATCTGGACTTCTCTGGCTCCCCAGTATACATTTGGCAAGTTAAATGTACTTGTTTATTGCAAAGGCAAGGATCAGCAACAGGGATTCTGAGTCACTTGTGTTTTATTCAAGTACAAAGCCGACAATGAAACATTTGGTCTTGGATGCAAAAATCCTAGAGAAGCCCTTTTTGAACAGGCAAGGCATTATAAAGCAAGCCACTACCAAGCAGCATCACAACACAAGACTTACCTTTTAGAAAACTGCTTTTCCGAAACAACGTTAATTTTGTTCTTCTGACGTTCAATATGAACAACGTTCCCAAGATTTCCAGTTTTCCCATTGACCTTCACTCTCTGCTTGAGAAACTGTTCCTGTTTTGACAAAACAAAAATATGTAGACACTAGGGAAGATAACCCTAGGTACAAACTAGGGAAGGGAACCCTAGTTAGAGAACACAGTAAGAACAATGGTTTTGTAACCACACAATAGTCCATGCACTACTACCAGTTTTACTGCAATAATAAGAGTGCAAATTAAGATAAAGTTACAAAACGTTCATAAATCCCAAAATCATAGGCAGGATAATGCGCCTGCATATGCCCGACCTTCAAAAACAGAGCCCTAAGCATCAGTAAAACAGAATGTTCTTTCAGTACAAATACTCACAAAATTGGCAGAGTCAAAGATTCCATCTTCTACAGGATGGGTAAGATCCAGAGTAAACCTCCAAGCAGCCTTTTTGGATCTCTTTTCCTTCGGTGTCCTTTTCACCTTTTGCTAAAAGAATAAAGGAGGTTGCATTAATAAAAAGGCATATTGTAATAATTCAACTATTCTTCCTACACTCAAGTTATACACTTGCACAAAGCATCCCAGATGCTGGAGCCACTTCCCCGGACAGCCCCAATACAGGCTATGGGGGCACAGTGTACAGGCACAGCCAGGGCTGAAGAGGAATTTTGACAGACATTACAGGGGTAAGAGATAGGAGGCTTTCATTCCCAGGAAAAGAGATTGCGGGAATAATTAGAATATCATGCAAAAGTAATTGCAGTAAGTGCTGCAAAAGGGGCCCAAACCAAGTACTGAGTACATATGCATGCTTGTACTTTTCAGAGGTCCGATATTGTTCTATGTACAATCCTTGTTTTATTGATTGCATGTAATATTCTCATTTTCTGAGGTTGTGGATTTGGGGTTCTTGGGGTTTTCATGAGCTGTAAGCCATAATCATCACAATTATGACAAATCACGGCTTGAATTATCTTGCTTTGCATGTAATGAGTCTATCTCATATATTAGTTTCACCTTTTAAGTTGCATTAGTGAAATAAATGAATTTTGCACGATATTCTAATTATTCGAGTTTCATCTGTATATATACACACACGCACAACCCTGTGTATAGAAGCTGCTTTATTTATACACCTTTCTTGCAGCCCATTTCCTGAAACTTTGCCCTGTATCAGAGCTCCCAGCACCAATTCTATTAAACTCCACAGGTAAGACGAAGCGCTGGTTTCTCCACTTGCATCAGTGGGTTCATCCTGAGCTGACTAGGAGTCACCAGGAGAACCTACTATTCAACCAGCCTGAGAATTGAATAGGATTGATGGCACCGCTACAGAGAAATGTTTCAGCATATAGGCCATACAATTGGCAGATTTAAAGCAATTTTATTTTCAGGGTAATGGGTTTGCCATTTGGTTAGCCCCCCAGACAGGGGCCTGACTGCAGCACTGGTGCTGTGGGTTCACTCCCTCATATACCTCAGTCAGCAATGTTCAGTTCTTATACAGTGGCAGCTCATCAGCACCCAATGTTAGAACACCGTTTGTGCTGGCACACAGAGGCAGCTCCAGAAGATCACACATGACAAGCCTCTGCTCATCCAAGGGATGCAATTGACAATGGTTCGGTTCTCTCTGGCTGCCTGTGCATGTCAGCACAAGCAGCATCCTTTCTTAGGGCTGCAGTCTTACCACAGGAGCATGCAAATGGCTGGCTCCATAGGACACTGCTAGGTAAAAGGAGCTTTCTGGAAATCCTGGTTTAGATAGAGATAAATATATCTCTATATCTATATAGATATATATGCGAATTGCCTCCTATTTATGGGCTGATTCAAAAAAAGACCACTACTACAGATGCACAGCAGCAGTACATGTCAGTGCATACAGCTATGTACGCATCTGTACACAGCAGTATGCATATCTGTGCCCAAACACCTGCACTGAGGTGAACAGCATAAAATATTATGGAACAGCTCTGCATTAAACGCTGCATTCTTGTATAGGTTTGTGACCATGTTTACAAGCATACATCATACATGGACCCCATTAGCCAATGCTCCCACACAGGGCCAACGTCAATATAAACTTGTAATCAGCACCACGCACTTGATGACAGCTGAATAGAGTGTAATCGGTAGTGCAAGCTACACTTATCCATACTCACATGTTTACATGGGGCAGCCAATAGATCGCACTGACAGTATGTAAAGGTTACACAAACATTACATGTATGGACAACTTTAATGCGAAGTCTTTCTGCCATGCTTCTGTATTTTACAATGTGTATGTAAAGATCTAATATGATCCTGTATAGAAAGCAGGCCGAGGGTGGCCTCCAATGGTGTTTCCTAGAAGCAGTTAATACTAAAGTCTCCATCAGGTGTGCCTAGGGTAGTATGAAGGGAGCACGTCTAGCAGTCACTCATCTGTCAGCCAGGCCGAGCTCAAAGGAAGCAACCCCCAACAGACTGCCGTCAGCAGCCCCTCAATACAGCGCCAAGAATGCGCTATTGATTCACTCGGACAGCCAGCTACATGCGCATGCCGGCCCACGTGTCCTCCACTCACCGGCGCCATGTTCTCCGGATGAGTTTAAGCAAAGAGGCAGCGGAGCGCCAGCCCCCGGTATTTATAGCGACAGTTACGTAGTTCCTCCTTCACACGTCACATCCGCTGCGTCTGAGTCAGGTTGAAGGGGAGGAGTGTGGAGAGTGTGGATGGCTTGGCTAGGCTGGGTCTGCACAGGATGGCAGCGCTCCTACTGGGGACTATAGTGTACATTTACCCTCCGGGTGCTGAATGTGTTGTCACCCTAAAGTGCATGTGAACTCTAAAGCGCTTTGACGTTAACATTTACCTCCCCATGAAACACGGTGTTCACCTTTATTTGCTTCTCAGTGCTGCTCTCTTCCAGCTTATTTCAGCCATGTACTGTCTACACATAATCGATCTGGACCATCTTCCTGATGGTGATATTGGTGGATCATGACTACGCAATGTGTGTCAGCATAGTTGGTTGTAATCTCCACCAGTGCTTGTGACAACCTAGGTGAGCAATTGGGAAACAGTTGTCACACTATAACAGCCAGTTCCTGAACGTGTGTTAATACATTTCTAAAGGTTAAAGGAGAACTATGAGATGAGTGATTTCCACTCACCTCATAGTTCTAGCCGACCTGTGACAATGAGACTGTCACAGGTCGGTTCAGTAGATCGGGAGGTGAGCGAACACATACCAGGTTCGCTCACCTCTCGATCCTGTCACGGCTCTCTGCCGTGACAGGGGGAGGGCTGGATTCCCCTCTCCCCGCTCCGATCTGCCAGCGCTGACTGGCGGAACGGACGGGGGAGGGGGCGGGTACAGCTGGCTCTGCCTCTAGATAGGCAGAGCCGGCTGTCACTCACGCAGCTGGGCAGATCCCGTCATCTACGTCAGGATCCGCTCCGGCTGCGGCGTCTCAGTATACCGCGAGCTGTAGCTCGCGGTATACTGAGCTTAGGGTAACGGGAGGATGCTAGTTTGTGTCCTCCCGTTACCCCAAGGAGAACTATGGGGGAAAACACTGACCCCATAATTCTCCTTTAAAAACATCTTTTGAAATTTTATTATCATGTTAAAGCTTAGATTTTAAAGAAGGAACTAAAAAAAATAGGGAATTAGTGTAGTGTCATATATTGGTCCGTGGAGAAGTGCCCCCTTACATTTTTGGTTTGTGTAGTGCCCCTACATTGAAGGTCTGTGCTCCCCTACATTGGTGATTGGTGTAGTGTCCCTACATTGAAGGTCTGTGCTCCCTTATATTGCTGGTTGGTGTAGTGTCCCTACATTGAAGGTCTGTGCTCCCTTACATTGGTGGTTGGTGTAGTGCCCCTACATTGAAGGTCTGTGCTCCCTTACATTGGTGGTTGGTGTAGTGTCCCTACATTGAAGGTCTGTACTTCCTTACATTGGTGGTTGGTGTAGTGTCCCTACATTGAAGGTCTGTACTTCCTTACATTGGTGGTTGGTGTAGTGTCCTCCTACATTGAAGTTCAGTGGAGACGTGCCCCCTTACATTGGTGGTTGGTGTAGTGTCCTCCTACATTGGAAGGTCAGTGGAGAAGTGCCCCCTTACATTGGTGGTTGGTGTAGTGTCCTCCTACATTGGAAGGTCAGTGGAGAAGTGCCCCCTTACATTGGTGGTTGGTGTAGTGTCCTCCTACATTGGAAGGTCAGTGGAGAAGTGCCCCCTTACATTGGTGGTTGGTGTAGTGTCCTCCTACATTGGAAGGTCAGTGGAGAAGTGCCCCCTTACATTAGTGGTTGGTGTAGTGTCCTCCTACATTGGAAGGTCAGTGGAGAAGTGCCCCCTTACATTAGTGGTTGGTGTAGTGTCCTCCTACATTGGATGGTCAGTGGAGAAGTGCCCCCTTACATTGGTGGTTGGTGTAGTGTCCTCCTACATTGAAGGTCAGTGGAGAAGTGCCCCCTTACATTGGTGGTTGGTTGGTGTATTGTCCTCCTACATTGGAAGGTCAGTGGAGAAGTGCCCCCTTACATTGGTGGCTGGTGTAGTGTCCTCCTACATTGAAGGTCAGTGGAGAAGTGCCCCCTTACATTGGTGGTTGGTGTAGTGTCCTCCTACATTGGAAGGTCAGTGGAGAAGTGCTCCCTTACATTGGTGGTTGGTGTAGTGTCCTCCTACATTGAAGGTCAGTGGAGAAGTGCCCCCTTACATTGGTGGTTGGTTGGTGTAGTGTCCTCCTACATTGAAGGTCAGTGGAGAAGTGCCCCCTTACATTGGTGGTTGGTGTAGTGTCCTCCTACATTGAAGGTCAGTGGAGAAGTGCTCCCTTACATTGGTGGTTGGTGTTTGTACAAGCAGGGCTAAATGTAGAACGGGGAAACCACCAATGATCTTGGAGACTACATCCTCCCCCCCGCACCTACCTCTCTCCATGCTGGCTCCGTCCTCCAGGTCCGTCCTCCCCCGCCACCGAATATCTCTCTTCGCTGGCTGCTTCAGGATGGAGAGCGGGGAGCAGAGCGGCATGGTTAAGACTAACTCTGCCTCTCCTTGTAAACAGTGAGAGGGGACAGCAGTATTCCCTTCTCAGCTGTCACAGGAATTCCAGCACAGTGCTGGAGGTGGAGGGTCAATAAAGAGAACCTGTCACCTCCAAATGCTATCACACAGGGGCTTGTTAGCTCATATGTGATAGCAATAAAGTTAAGTAAGAAAAACAAAATTTTATTATAAAAAAGTAAAAGATGATGAGATAAATACAAATTTAAAAAAGTAAAAAAATAAATAAAAATAAAAAAGTGATAAAAAAGTAAAGTATAAATAAAGAAACAATATAAAAAATGTCAAACTAACCCTGCCTCCCCGCTATCCAGGGGGAAGGGGGGATTGGCGGGGAGGGGAGCGCATTGAGAAACCTGGCCTTGGGGCAGCAGGGAGAGTAAATCCAGTCCTGACAACAGGACACCACTGCATATGTACTACCTCCCCACTATTCAGAATAGAAAGCTGCCAGTGAGTGTGAAATATGCACTCAGCACTGCAGAACTGTTGGATGCAGTGGAAAAAATACTAATATATTATCAATATTTAGCAATATTAAAGTGGACCTAATAGTGAGAATACAAATCTGTGGCATATTCCAATATACATCAGCAGTATACTTTTTATTTACAGATTAACTTTTATTATTTAAAGAGTATTTAAGAGCGACACTAAGGCTGGGTTCACACCTGGGCGTACTATAGGCGCGTTTTTGCTGCACATTTTTTCGTTCAGTGAAACGTGTTTTTTTATACATCCCTGGCGGTATAATTTTTTTCCCCTTTATTTTCTCTATTTTTTTTTTAACTTTTCAAACTTCCCGCCGGTTCTGCCCCCCTGCGACGCGGGGGCTCGCAAGGGCCGGAACCCGGAAGACAGCAGCGGCCGGAGGACACAGCAGGGATCGCGGACAAGGTAAGACCTACGCTGTATTCCCGAGTGTGGCTCAGGGTTACCGCTTTGGTACAGAAAATTAACCCCGAGCCACACTCGGGAATAACAATGGATACCCGCTGAAATACTCCCCAAAGAAGCTCCTGTACTTGTTTGGGCGTAGGGCGCTGAAAAACGCCCAGGTGGGAACCCAGCCTAAATTCAGGAGTTCAATCTTAAACATGCATTTAAGTACCTTAACTATTAATAAAAATGTATCTTATTTGTGTATCACCCGGCTGTAGATCCTCAAATCATCTCTGAATTGGTGCTGACACTGTCCTTCCTTCTGGAGGGTGGCTACTTTTGTTTCCCATGGTCCCTGTGTGTGTTGTAAAGTAATCACCACTCCAAGCTCACGATGGACTATAATCTCAATACAAATTAGTAAAATAAATGTGAGTTTGTATCACAGGAGTGAGCTTGGAGCGGTGGCTACTTTACAACCCACAGGGACCATGAGGAACAAAAGTAGTCACCCTCCAGATTTGTAATACATTTGTTCATGCATTTTTAAGTTCAAACTCCTGAGTTTAGTGTCACTTAAAGTTGCAACGTACAGAACCTGGGTAGAATATGTGGTATAGTTGTAAACAAGAAGGCTCCAATACATGTTTTCTGGCTTTTTCCTTGTAGGTTTGAGAAATACGTTTATAACTGACTCAAGCAATGTATGTGCTATGACTCATATAATAGCACATTTCCTGTGTGAAGCCCTGGTACAGCAGCAACATTTATTCTGTTTCCATGTAAAGAGAATTGTTGCAGAACCTGTTAGTGAAGTGTAACTTTTTGTTTGTACTACAAATATATAATCATTTACAGTAAAGATAATAATATACTGTATGTTACAAAAAAGTCCTGTAAAACAACGATAAAAAAAAAACAACATTTTGGTAAACTGTTGAAACCTGTTTTTTGCAGCTGCCAACCAGGTTCAGCCTCTCCTGGCAGTAGTTCCGAATCTAAAGGAACCGGTGTGTTGCGGAACCCCTTTCTGGTGGTCTTTGGACATTACTGTCTTGCTAGAGTAAAATAATGTTTACGTCTTTTAGGGCTGCAACTAACGATTATTTTCATAATTGATTTGTTGGCCAATTATTTTCGATTAATCGGATTAAAAAAAATATCATCCTTAATCTAAAATCAAATACACAAATGGAGTGTTACAAACATAAAGTTTATTTCAGAATAAAACTGCAGGTAGATCGACTTGGTGTCCCCTGCAATTCCCGCTGCCTCTGCTGGGGGAGAGCAGCGGGGATTGGAGGGGACAACGACTGGAGCATGGAGCGGACTCCCAGTGGTGAGAATAGAGTTGCAGAGCAGCGGGAGCAGTGCCGATGTGGCAGCGGCAAGTGGGAGGTATGGGGGAACTCTTTTCACCACTTGGCACCGGCTTCAGGGGTCAGTCCCCTCCGATCCCCGATGGGAGCAGTGGGGATCAGAGAGGACACAAGGCTGATGAAACATCAGCTCCCAGGGTGTAGGAGAGAAGCAGGGGATCCAGACCAACTAATTGATAACAAACTAATTGAGTTGCCAATTCTCATTATTGATTATTATAGATGAAATCGATTTGTTGTTTCAGCCCCAAAATGATCTTTCTC